TGCTCTTTGACCCCTTTGCCGTCATTAAAAGGAACAGATGCTGGCTTACTGGTGTCATCACTTCCAGCATGGAAGCTCTCATCAATTTGCTTGACTCCACCATCGAAGCTGCAAATTGTGCACGTCTTTTGCGTCCCTGCACCCCACTTTCTTTTTTCGACATAATGGGCTAAAAGAATAAATTAATAAATACTGACTACACTATTTAGTTGGAACATGAAAATTGTCAGATGAAAGGAAGTATTCTACTTTCCTAAGTTCTTAACCACAAATTATATTTAAATTATACAATTATAGTTGCAACTCAGGACTAGTTAGGCATATCTGGACCTGGTTTCACTTTAACTGCCATTATTTAGACCACCCATACTCGTGCTAATTAATGTGACATAACAGTAAGAAAATCAGTGCAGATGAGTGTATATGCTGGTAAATCATGCTTATGACCACCATATAAATTACTGGCAGTTGCTAAATTACATTTAAAAACTCGATAGGTTCAACTACACGAACACTAGAGGAGACAAGTCTGAAATTGCTAGAATGAAAATTACACACACTGTGGAGAAGGGTGTAATCATAACATAATATAAACCTAGAGGCTCAAAGGCTATAGTTAATATTAAAGATTTTGATAGAATGAGAAAACTTAAATATAGGCTAACTAATTAGTGGTGCTAGATCACAGTTCCTAGATTAAGTCGCTAGTACATCTAAATCTAACATTAATGTTAGACCTGTTATTTCCATCTTTTTAGTCTTAAGTTTGGACCTAGATGTGATAATAATGTTACGCCTCCAGTCGTTAATTAATTTTCCATAAATTCGTTCCAACGAAACGTTAGCGACACAAGTTCTTTCTTAAATAAAACTGGTTTATTCTTTCCGAATACGACTTTACCGATACACTTAATTTCAACAGTCGCTCTATAACAACGCTATAATTCTCAAAAAACGTTTCACGTGCTCGACAATACTCAGTTCAATTACACACTCTCTGACTGCAGTTCAATTACTCCTTGTTCCGTCACGTTGTGACCATCTTATATATACCAGACTACCCCCAATCTAGTAGTCTCCCGATAATTCACGAAGGTTCGAGAAGGACGTGGCGTGATAGTAGTCACGTGACCTCGCTGACGCAACAATAATGACAGAAATGTAGCTTTATACATCTGAACTAGACCTTAGATTTAGGTGCATAGATTGAAAGCACCTTGTATTGAATCTACCCAGATCTAGATATAACCCCGCCACATCAATTCTAGATTTAGATTTATTAGGCCTAACTTTTAGAACAAATGTTACATCTAGAGCTATTAACTTAGTCATTAGATCTGTCTCAGTGCAATGCCTAGTTTAATAGTTAGTATAGGTCTAATTATGCGTATAATATGGGCTACAACTTGTATGATGATGGACCTAGGGTCTAGAAATAAAGTTATAACTGCAATTAGACCTAAAGTCTAGTACATTGGTTGGTGTAAGACATGATTTACAAT